TTGCTTACCCCGTACCATACAATGTGATATTTCCAGTGTGCATTGCTAAACTCAGCACAATGTACGACAGTTGACGCTTGCTTACCCCGTACCGTACAATGTGATATTCCCAGTATGCCTTGCCAAACTCAGCCTAATGTACGACAGTTGACACTTGCTTTATATATCAAAATTGATGAAAGATTTTAAATTGACCAATTCAGAAATGGTATTGGGATGTCATTGTTAGTTCTAATTAATATTCATGAGTTAGTTCAACATTATCAAATCAGCAAGCACCTTATTTTGAATAGGTGGATGGTCACAGTTGCAATGTCATGTGAAGGTGTATTGACAAGGTTTGGCTTATAATTTGAATGAGAGCTGATGATCAGTATTTACATTTTTTTAATAAATAACTGTATAAGCTAAGGTACACCTTATGTTCTTCCCTGTCATGTTTTTTTTTGAAAATCTAGCTCATTTACAGAAAGATTCGTTGATTCTAAAAACACTCAACATCTCTGAACCAAAAGTGTTGTATAAAAACAGCCAGCTTCTGAACACTAAGTATCATATAGTTTTAATAATAGAGATATTATCACATCCTTTACTATTTCCAAATCATCTTCTGAGGAATGTGTTTACTGCAAATAAATTATTTTATTTTTAGTTAATTATTTTCGTTACAGCAGAACTTTGAATGAAATTGTTATCACAAATTTGTAATTCATTTGATTACTGGACAGATTGTTATCAGTTTTGTAACCTTGTAAACTTGACAATACAGAAAGAGAATAGATAAAAATAGTACCAGTAATTGATGTCCTGAAAACTGGGGAATATTTTAATTCTAAGACTACAATAATCCTCTTTTCGTGGAGAGTCTGACAAACTAACGTTTATGTTGAGTTACTGAAGCGGACATCATTAATGTATAATATGGTTAACCTAGTTTAACTTGCTAGGCATGAGAAACCAACTAGGTATGAGGCTTTTTTTTTCACCATAGTAAATTTCAATGGCATTTGGGTGTGTGCATGCCAGTGTTGTACATTTTGTAACTTGGTGATGCAAAAGATCCAAGTATGTGTGCTCATTTCACTACGGTGATGCAATGATCTGAATGCGTGTTGGTGTTGTTCATTTTGGCGACACAAAGTCCAGTGTTGCAAAACTGATAACAATCAATGATAAATAGATATTTCTAGGCTTAGTTTCAAAATGAATGTGATCTGTTAACACATCGACTAGACATTAAATTAATTTTTTACTACTACAACTAGATCATGTAGTACTGTGATAACTGTTTGAAAACAATATAATGGAAAATTTGGAGTGTTCATAATGGTCGAGAAGACTTTAAATGAATGACTTTTTGGTAACAGGACGAGAAAAGTCTATCATGAATTACCTGTGAATCAATCAATTATTTGCAAGGATATCAGACACTATTGTCTAGCTCTGTATGGGATGTAATTTGTTCATTTGTATGCCTTTATTGTTGCATCTCCAACAATTTCATTTACATATGTCAGTGTTTACATTGCTCTATTATGTCAACACTTGACAATATGGATATTTAATAAAGTCCTATCACATAGTTCATTCACTTTTTGAATTCCATTATTATTATTTTTCATCCATATTGCTTAGTCAGATGCTAATAAATTATTCAGTATAGTAAGATATACTTGGAATGAACAGAAACTACTTTTGTTGTACAATTAATTTTCAGTATATGTACCAAAAGAATGTTTTTTCAATCATTAATAAATTACACAATCATGCAATACTGTATCTATTAACTATAAATAAAACAAGACTTAGAAATTTAAATTATTCCTTCAATGTATTGTATTTTGTAAATAAATTGCTGCTTTATGGAATCTGTCATGTGTCATGGGGAAAAAAATAAGTCAGAAACTTATTTTAAGAATAACTTTAATGAGAAAGATTCAGATTTGGAAAAAATACAACATTCTGAAATTTATACATTACTAAAATATCCAGAATGTAAGTGTAATGAAAAGTGCTGTACTCTGGGTCAACTGTATTCTTAATGTAACCATACAAATGAGTGGCAGCCATTGTCAAATTTAAAATAATATATCCGATTATTAAATAAAACATCTGCCTACATAAATCATGTTGGCACTTAAGTTTGATAAGACTATATTCAACTACGGCTAAATACTTAATGAAATTGTTATTTAAAAGTATGGCAAAATATATCAATAAATGATAATGCTAGATATATTGCAAATATTCACCAAGAATTAGCTTGAACAGACAAGTTTGGGTTGTCACACAATGTCAATGTTCCTCTGAAGTAATTAGTGTGTAATTCAGGGTAATTGAAGCATATAAAATGGGATTTTCCCTCAATAGACCGGTCTGGATCAACACAGCAACTGTTTCTCAATAAAATGCTCAAATTGTGTGATGAGTGTTAGCTAGAAAACATTTCAAATTTATTATTAATGGTACAAGCTTGATACGGTGGGCTAGTTTAAGGCTCATTACAATTTGTATTTGTAAACTCAAACATTTATTTCACTGCAATGTATGGCTATTGTCAAAAAGGTGTGAAATACTGTCGTAAAGCAATTCAGTTCACTTCCAGACCAGTCTATAATAGGGACTGTAAATTATTGCAATACGAAAACATAATTCACTAAAACTAGTACAGGAAACTAGAGTTGACATCATACATACAATAAAATAAATTTTTCAGCACTTTGTTATGATACGGTTATTAATTTCTTGACTTGTTAATTTCAAGAAAGCTTTCAGTATTTAATTCAATAAACCAATGATTATGAAGTTTGTATAATAATAAGTAATGATTGCACAAAACACTTCCATGCAT